ACTGCCAGTGATGAGCCATTTCTAACACTTGTTTAAAATGAAATTATTTCAGACTTACACTAATTGTTCTAAAAAAAGAAAGAAGACATTGTCAGATGGGTTTTAAAAAGAATTAAAGGAAGCTCATGGAAAAGGAGTGTATCAATAGCTATTAACTATGACACCTAAATGAAATCTCTGTATTTGGAGGCAGTACACCTCTGAATAGTGCAAGCTCAGGGCTGGGCACAATTATGAGTTAGAATCATAGAACTGTAGCGTTGGAAGGGACCCCAAGGATCATCTAGTCCAATCCTCTGCAATGCAGGAATCTCAACTAAAGCACCCACAACAGGTGACCATCCAGCCTCTGCTTACAAACCTCCAGTGAAGAAAAGTCCACAACCTCAAGGGAGACTGTTCCACTGTCTAACAGCTTTTTCAGTAGCAAAATAGCAAGATGGTGTTTGGATGTATTTCAAAAATCATACTATATAATTAACTCATTAGCAGAAATGTGGGTTTTAAGAATATGTGGACATATCTATATAAAGAAATCATAACAATGAAGCAGAGAAGTGAGCTTGTGTAGTGTCAGTCTATATGACTTTTTAAAAATAGGATTTCTTTGTGGTTAGCTGCTCTTCATCAAAAGACTCACATGAAGCTCCTCAAATGCTGTGAGGGTGCAGTGCATCCGAGGCGCAGCCGCCACTGACCCACCTTTATTCTGCCCCTCAAAGATTCCTGGTTCCTGCAAGGCTGGGGGTTGGACCCCTCCCAACTCTACAATTCTGAATCCTGACTTTATCGTCGGTTGCCTTCTCACACCTTCACTTCCTTACTTACTTTCTGCTGCATTCAGCTTTAGTCCAGTGCAGTGGCTACATTAGATTTTTTTGTGCTGGGGGGGGGGGGAGGAATCCCTTCACAGAATTAACAGGCAGACACCAAAAATTCCTCCCTCCTCCCGCTTCTGCTGTGTTAGTTGCTAGGTATGAACATTTCTCTTGAGCTGAAGGTGGGAAGTGTTGTCATGACTGCTGATGTCACAAAGGCTTCCCTCCTGAAACTAAGGGAAACAATTGTGGGTTTGGGAGTAAGATGATTCAACAAGTTCCCTGAATATTTTTTCAGACTTGGAGTGCAATACTCATCGGAGTTTGCGGGTCTCTCTCATAGCTAGAGGAAGGGGCAGATTTGCAATTTTAATTTGAGAGATAGAGAGCGGCAAGCTTTTATCTGGCCCAGACACTGAGGCAGAGAGAAGGGTTGTGTTCCAAGTGCTCCTCTCACTTCTCACTACTCTCTAAAACAGTTCATAGTGAATCACATGGGATCAGGTCAACGGGAACTAATGGCTACATTTACACCCTCCTCGCCATAGGCAATCGCTCCACAGCAACAGATGAACGGACATTCGTGTCAGAATCTGTGTCGTTCAGCGTGGAAGACCCTGAGGAGTTCTAGCTTCAGGAGGCTAGAGTGCATCACTCCATTTAGAAAGAAGAGAGAGCCCTTTTGAGAAAGTGCACTGTAAAGACTTAAAAGCAGAGGAAGAGAGCATGAAAGCATTAGGAGATCAAGACTTGAAAAGCCTGATGAGGAAACTGCCTTTACATTAAAAGGCAAGCACAATTTCTAGTAGCCTTTTGAGGTTATGCACTTCAGAGAAGAGGGAAATAATAGGGGTTTTTATTTTTAAAAAATAGCTGCACAGTAAAATGAAATGCAAGAAAGTGGGCAAAAATAAAATCAATGGATATTTTGAGCAATCCATCTAAAAACAAAGGCCTGAAGCCAAGGATGCCTGCTTATTTCAAAGATCAGTCAATGAACTTCAACCTCCCAAATCTCTGAAGTTCCTGGTTCATGTGCAATGGCCTGGCGGTCCTTTCTCGCTCTCTCTGGCCTTCCCCTCATGCCCTTAAACTCAATTCTTCCAGAACCCAGGGCCCTCGTCTCTCACGTCTCTTGGACAGCCAGGGAACCCCTGCACCCCCCCCCCCTTTCCCTAAGGTCCATCCATGGCAGGGAAAGGGGCCTTTTGTCTGCCCCCCTTTCTTGCATTGGCTCTAGAGTGGATTACACCTGCCAAACTGCAGACAAATAGGTCTGGGTGGGGCTGCAGCAGAAGTAAGTGGGATTCACTTTCCTCCATGATTTGGAGTGGGGGCATGGACTTGTCACTTACTCTTTCTTACTCAAAAACAATGAAGAGGCGGCTGAGGAGAGTGTTTTCTTGCCTGCACATTTTTAAAAAACACTTTGTGGCATCCCACTGGCTTTCCTTCCTGGCACTTGATTGTGTCCTCCAACAGGTCTCACTGGCCTTACAGCATTACATGCTTGTGATGTTGCCTGGAGTTCTGAAGAGTTCTGAGTTTTGTGTTGGTTAAAAAGAGCAACATTGAAATAGAGCTTTGAACTTTTTTTTTTTTAAAAAAAAAGGTATTCACCACTGTCCTTTAACTAAAAATAAAAATCTAGAGTGCTCTGCAGACAACATTTTGGAAAGGCTCAGTTCTTACAATGTCCGTTGAAGTAGAGAAACACAGTGATATGTATGATTTGATTTCTGATTTGATCCCAGAATGACCCTATTTTCATCGGAGAAATGTTGGAAAGTATGGAGTTATCTCCGAGCTAAGGAGATAAGCTGCCCAAAGTGGATAGGGGATTGGGGAAGCCCACCTAACAATGTTTAGAAAAAATAAGGATAAAATAAGAATTTGTTTGTATTGTTTGTTTTTTCTGCTTCTGTTGTTTAGTTGTGTTATAAACTGAGTAAAAAAAAATGGGGGGGGACAAAGTGGATAGGGGAAATTATTATTATGGAATAGGATGTCCCTACTTTCATCAGAGAAATGTTGGAGGGTGTGTAACCATACATCTGTTTTGCATTCCCTCTAGTAAACTATTTCTGGGCCCTCTGCCCCATAATCATTCCTTTGGGACCATTTGCCCTGCTTTAGAAGAACATATTGCCTCCTGAGTATCAGAACTAATCATGGCAGACCTAGTTAAAATAACCAGCCTAGGAATCTAAGCACAAATACTCTGATCAGAGCAGAAATACTATATGCAGCAGAACTAGCATCGTATGTGCTTTCAAGGTACTGATATTTAACACAGAAGTCTCACAATTTCTGGATATACAGACACACCAGAAATCATATGAGAGATCTTTGTGTTAAAATCTACATACAACAGGTCACCTGCTTGTTCTGATATACAAGTAAGTGACCTGCTGTGTGGAGATTAAACACACAGATCTCTCACATGATTTCTGGAGTGCATTTTCATGCAAGACTAATACCTATTACACTGGTAATCTGGTGCATTTGAGCACGGTCCAAACCACCTTAAACACACACAGATCTATTTACTCCAAGGTCATTATTAGTAAAATACACCATCGGACTCTACACAAATACATATGGAATTCTGATGATTTGGGGGTTTAAAAGAAGTTTTTAAAATCATATCTGATTTGCATTTCATTTTTACTGAGAGCAAACAGGAGCTTATCCGGCCAATTTCTGTGGATGAATTCCATACTTTCAAAGCTACAGTTGCTCATGTTTCTTTAAAAACAATATCCAACACTTTAGAAATTCAACACACTGTAAAGGCAACTTCACAAGGAACCCAAGAACCATAAACACAGGGAGTGCAGGAAGCAGAAGCAACCATTTTGGACATGGGGAGGGGAGGGGGCTTGCCTGACCCCCACCTGACACTCATCCCCAAGAAGGATGCTTTCTATAGGGAGGGCAGTGTGGTGCCTTGAAGCGAATCCAAGTAATGCAGCTGCAGACAGTTAAGAACTGGATCCTGGCCTGGAAAGGGCAATCCTCTGCTTAGAGGCAGCCCAATCACAGGTGGCGTGAGCAGGGACAGGCAGAACTGGTCTTGTGAAAACTCAAAAGGCTCTTGATCCAAGGGTCAGAAAACTCTCTTCCCTGGGGACAGGGGAGGAGCCAAGGGAGGACGGGGGGGGGAGCTTTCCCCCCAATTAAATCAATAAAAATACTTAACTGAGGTTCTGCCCCCTCCCCCTCCCCCCCCATATAAAGTCTGGCTATGCCCCTGCCAGGGGAAGAGGCTCAGGGCCACAACTTGTAGCAGAATTTCACCAGTGCCAGGAATTCATTAGTGCCAAGTGGGCAACGAAATGCGCCTGTCAAGTCCAAGATGAAAAAGAAAGAAGGCCGGTCTCTCGGGTCCCACCTGCCTCAGGCAAGGCAAGGCAAAAACAAGCAGGCACCAGCTCCCAGGGGCGCAGACAAGGAGGGGCAGGCCGTTTGTTTGGGGGGGGGGGGAGAACCTCAGTTTGCTATGTATTTTTGTTTTTAATTGATTGGGGGGCAGCTACCCCCCCCGCCTCCCTTCGCCACGCCGAAGGCAGCGCCACAGGTTTGTTTCCCCCCCTCGCCAGCTACAGGTGGCTCTGCTCCCCTCCTTGGGGGGGGGGAGGAAGTTTGCAAAATGCAGCTGCGGGCTGCTGTTCACACGAGTGGACACGGGGCGAGCCGTCGGCTAAGGGGCCTGGAAACGGGGGGGTGGGTGGTCTGGGCAACTGGAAACACGCCGCGTGGTGGGAGCAACAGGGATCGAGACGCCTCCGGGGAGTCGGAGGGCGAGGGGCGGAGCCGCCGGTCCCCGGCGCGCCCCCCTCGTGTTTGCAAGCCTCGCCCGGGGAGGGAGGAGGAGGAGGAGGCCGCGGGCAGCCAGCGACGCCCGCCCGGGACCAAGGCGCTCGGCAAGCGAAGGCTTTTCCGGCGCGCAAATTGTACGGAGAGGCGCCAGCCGCACGTCTGAATGCATACACGGGGGTACAAAAAAAGCAAAGGAAGGCGACCGGTGCCATGTTTTAAAGACCCTGCAATTTCACGTGGCGGAAGGAAAGCAAGCCTGGGGAGGGGTCGTGACACGGGGGGGGGGGTCCTAGCATGGGGGAGCTGGCCGGGTCCCCCGAGGTCGCGCAGCCCCAGCCCGCCTTCCCTCGCCCCACTCACCGGGAGCTCCACGCTGACCTCGGTGCCGTCGAGCAGCTGCACCCGGCACTGCAGCGCCGCTCGGCCGCCCGTCGCGGCCGCCTGGATGTGCGGAGGCGCCGGGGCTCCGGGCGCGGCCAGCGGGGCTCCGGCCGAGGCCGCCCGGGGCGCCCCGTCGCGCTCGTCTCCTTCGCCGGCCGCTCGCCCGTAGCGCTGCATCGACCGCCGGCCGAAGGTCCTGCGCAGGAACCGCAGCATGGCGCGCCTTCGCTCCGGGGGACGCGAGCGGCACTCCGGCTCCGAGCGGCCCCGCGCCGGCGCTCCTGCGCGGACGGAGCTCCGCCAGCCGCCCGCCGGGGAGCCAGGCAGGCAGGCAGCGGTGGGCTCGCCGCCGCCGCCGCTGGGCGGGGTCCCCGTCTGCCGCCGCCTCCCTTCCTGCCGCAGACGGCGGCGGCGGCTGCACAAAGGCGGCGGCGGGCGGCGGCGACCTGTGGCGGCGGCGCCGCCGTCGCTCTAGCTCGTCCAAAGGGGGCCGCGTCCCTGGCCCCAAGGCGCCCCCTCTGCGCCGCCTCCTCCTCCGGGGCCGCCTCGCGGAAAGGGCGCCGGCGGCTCTACCTGCGCCGGGCTGGCCACCTGCTCCACCTGGCCTTACCTGGGCGGAGGAAGAGGGGTCGGCACAGCGGGCGAGGTGCCTCGCTCCTCCCCGGAAAGCCGGCCAGGCCCTTCGGCGAGTCGGGGGCGCCCTCTCTGGCCCGCGCCGAGGCAGGCGAAGGGCGGAGAGCGCGTCTCTTGCTCCGAAGAAGCCTGCGGACCTTGGACACTTACTTCCGAGTAAGTTCTGGGCAAGGCCAAGCCGACAGGAAGGGCCTGGCAACGCACGCTTGGATCTCGGCCTGAGCAACTGTTAGGATGGGAATGGTTGGTTTGTTTTCCAGGTGTGCTCTTGTTTTCTTAGTCACAGGATTGCAGAGGTGGGGAGGGGCCCCCAAGGGTCATCCAGTCCAGCCCCCTGCCATGCAGACATCTCAACTATTGAGGAGAGCCCACAACTTCCCAAAGGAGCCCCTTTCACTGTTGAACATCAATGTATTTTGTGCTTTTATTTCGTAGGAACCACCATTCCATCCAGGATCTAGTGGAGATTCCTGCATTGCAGAGGGTTGGACTAGATGACCCTCGGGGTCCCTTCCAACTCTACCATTCTAGGATTACTATCACAAGAGCCCTGCTGGATCAAGCCAACTAGCAATCTGTTCTCCCAGGAATCAACCAGATGCCAATGGGAAGCACACAGGCAGATCCTGAGCCCCCCGGCAGCCCCCCCCCCCCGAGCTTAGGGTGAGGCCAGTGGAAGGGAGTGCAAAATGAGGGTTTCTGTAAGGCACAGAACACACTGAGGCTGCACCCTTAATTGTTTCATTTTCATTTCATTTTTAATTTGCATACCGCCTTTTCAATCTTGCTATTTACAAGGCAGTTTACAAGCTGAAGAAACAATCATATATAGCAAAGGTCACACATCTTATAATGATCCAATAAAAATGTCAAGATAAATATATGACTTAAAATAAACAACAGTATCAAATAAAGTAATATTTAATAACCCATTAGAATATAATAGTATACAAGAAAATAATGTCAACCTATCAGCAAATATTAAGCAACAGCAAAATACATAAAATACCACAATACATAAAAAGCCATAAAGTAATGATACTGTTGTTCATTAATGGTGCCCTTTCTTTAGGTGTTGGTGTCGTAGAGCAAAGCCAAACCCAGATGGAGGACCTTCTTGCAGGACCAGGCATGCTGAGGTGCATGTGTGAACAAAGAAGATTTGCCCTGCCCTGGAAAGAAAACAGTAAATGGCTCAAGTGTTGAGCTCTTCAGCACAGAAGGCATCCATCTTAACAGAGTGTCTTCTATGGTCTGTCATGGATCAAAGCAGCAAAGCACAACACAGATAAGGGCCCGTTGTCTCACTTTCCTGTCTCTGTCAGTGAGCACTGCAAGTTGCCAAGCCCTGTCCAGGGCTGTGTGTAGGAGCAAGTAGGAGTCCAAGTGAGTAACACAATCCGCAAGGAGCAGTTTAACTCAGACTCCAGCCATGTCCATGAATTGCAGCCCTTCCAGAGAAATGAAAGGTTGCCATCACGCCAATGGAGAAAAGTCAAGTTCTGCACCGTTATGATGAGAGCAGACCTTGCTCTCTGCCCTGGCTGGCCTGGCAGTGAGAAGGCACCTTTACACATCCACCTCTATATGTTCCCATCACCCACCGGAGATCCTTGCAATGTCTTCCCTCCACATACAACCTGCCTTTCAGGATGGTGTGCATTTTGCAACTCTGAAAAAATCTGGACGTACAAACTAAGTACAGAAAGTGTTAAAGGGTTGTGCAATTCATAGGGAAGGGGGAGGCTGGTACATCAACAACTGGCAGAATAAAAAACAAAACAAAAACCTGATCCTCAAAAGGTTCTCATTGGGAAGAATATACAGTGGTACCTCGGGTTACAGACGCTTCAGGTTACAGATGCTTCAGGTTACAGACTCTGCTAACCCAGAAATAGTACCTCGGGTTAAGAACTTTGCTTCAGGATGAGAACAGAAATCGCGCAACGGCAGTGGGAGGCCCCATTAGCTAAAGTGGTACCTCAGGTTAAGAACAGTTTCAGGTTAAGAACGGACCTCCAGAACGAATTAAGTTCATAACCCGAGGTACCACTGTACCTGGAAAGGCAGCCTAGATATATTTTAAATAAAGAAATTATTACAGCCCTTCTGTGTGCTTTGCCTCTCTTCCCTTGCAACAACCAGGCTGGGAATATATGATTTTGCAATAGCTGCAGACTCCTTTTGGCCTTCTGGAAGCCTAACAAGCACACCCTACCTCAGTATTTAAACAAAACAAAACATTAAAAGAACGCTGGAAAAGAGAAGAAAGAGAAATTAATTGGGAAATGCAACATTGTTCAAAATTAGGGCAAGAAAGGAAAATTACCAGATTAGAACAAGGCTGCAATGCCTGTTGGAAGAATTGGGTTAGGTCAAGGTATACAAGAGGAGATTTTGTGAAGTCAGTTTGCTAAAAATTCACCCTACTAGAGGGAGTCTACTGACCTCTCAAATAATTTGCAATACCAAATTACACCTCTATATCTAAATGAGTTATTTTCTTTAAAAGGTATTCCAAGATGCTCTTCAGCCTATTCCTACGGAAATATATTTGGCTAAATTCTGTGAGATTATCACCCAGTAAGTACCGTATTTTTCTGTGTATAAGACTAAGTTTTCCCCCTAAAAAGTAATGTCAAAAATTAGGGAGCATCTCTCCCCATTTTCTTAAATCGGAGTCCTCCCAAATAGGGAGCATCTTACAGACAGAAAAATACGTTACATATTGGACTTAATAGGAGCTTGATAATATTTATACTCTGTTCTCCTTTAAAAATACAGAGTTTCCCTTTCAGTGCCAGCTATAGTTTTGAATAAGCAAGCAGTCTTACACGTTTACCCTCCCAACCAGAGCTGAAATAGATCTAGAGTAGGCAAGGCCAACCTTTTTGGACCAGTAGGACCATTTCAATTTTTGAGGAAGTATTGTGAGTGCCAGTCAGAGTGTAGCATAACACAAAATTAGTTAGCCCCGAAACGAGGAGACTGAGAGGAGATAGGAGAGCCATCTTCAAATATCTCAAGGGCTCACATGGAAGAGGGAGCAAGTTTGTTCTCTCCTGCTCCAGAGCGTAGAACTCAAACCAAGTTACAAAAAAGAAAATTCTGACTAAACATCAGGAAGAACTTCTGACAGTCGAACGGGCTCCCTCAGAAAGTGAAGGGTTATCCTTTATAGGAGGTTTTTAAGCAGAGGTAGGATGGACACCTGTAATGATGCTTGAGTTGAGATTCCGGCACTGCAGGGGGTTGGACTAGATGATCCTCAGGGGCCCTTCCAAATCTACAATTCTAGGATTCTATAATTCACTTTGCTCTTCTGTGATGCAAGTTCTATGAAGCAAGATGTAATCTGCCTTTCTTCAAACCAGAAGGAAATAGAGTTCTAATATAAATCTAACCACATTCGTTCAAAACTACGAAACTAAACTTTTGCTCTCAGTGAGCAATTAAAAAAAAGTGGTTGTCCTTTTTACAAGGGGAGAGGCATTAACGTAGACTGCATGGCAGCATTCCAGATTCATTAATTATACTGTGCCTGCCACCATGTACCTCTCTTCTCTTTCATTTCAAATGGATGTGCCCAGAGGCAGAATTGTACTTCTGTGTGCTGTTAACTGTCTGCTGTGATCTGACCTTAAAGTTAGTTGTGCCGGACTTCCGGGTTGACGCGATCTGGAAATGGCGGATTCCCTCCGAGCTCCGGAGGGAATCGGCTCCACTGAGGATGGGTCTTTGCCGCGCCGGCGACGCGGGGACCCTTAAAAACCGCAGGCGCGGAAGCCTGCGGACTGAAGACTCGGCGGGTGCCTTAAGCGCCCCCCCTGATTCGCAAAGAGCCTTTTTAAAGGCTGCGGAGGGGATACGGGGGTGGCGTGGCACTGAGAGTCGATCGCTACCTCGGTGGAGCGAAGCCGCGAGCCATGACCGGAGAGCGTTGACTTCCTTCCTTGAAAATTTGGACTGAAAGAATCACCCGTGAGTAAGACGGATTGGGACCTTTGAAAAATTTTACCTTTAATTGGAGACGACCGGGGGGTGTGCTAAAAGGAAGTCCGCACCCCCCCCTTGCAGACCATCTAAGCAACGACACAAGAGATAAGCTGGAGAGCCTACCCTTGGTGGGGTGAGTTAAAAAGGACACTAACTTTCAAGATTTTACTAAAGGAAAATTTTGTGCAGGAGAGTGGAGTTTTGGAAACCTTTCTTCTGTTTTAAACAACCCCCCCTCCCGGGCTCGGGAACGTCCTGCCTTCGTGCCTGCGTTAGAGCTGCGGAGTTTGACAGCTGTCAAAGCTGCCAAACGGGCGGTTTAAAGTGAGAAATTGCCATTTAAGATTTTTATGGACTAAGACGAGTTATAATTGAGCTGAAACTGTTGGAAACAAAGTAATAATAATCAGTTTAAGGATTGTTGGTGAAAAGGCAAATAAGTAACCAGATTCCCCCTAGGGGGAACTCTGTGAAACTACAATGGATACAATGGCTGTGGAAGGAAAGTTACTAGTGGAAATCGAAAGGATGTTTCAATTGGTGGGAATCTTACAGGAGCAGAGTTTGGCCATGAACAAACAACTTGAGACTATGACCTTGGGAACAGGCAACTCTGCTCTTTGTATTGAGGACCTTAATGAGAAAGAATCCACAGCTGATTGGGAAACAATATCTACAGAGCTGGAAGAGACTAAACAACAAGAAAAAGAAGAAGTAATCCTGGGAAGTAATAACCAAAAGTTGACATCTGTGGAATACAAGCAAGGAGACGCTGGGAACATATTTACCACAAGTCTGCGAGAGATACAGAAGAAGAAGGAGGAGGCCCCAAGACAAAATGGAGTACAGGAATTTAAAATAAAGAAATATGATTGGGGCCTCCGTTTGGACTTAGACTTGGAAGAGATAGACTTTGTGGAAATACTTCAGCAGCCACCTTTGAATCTTCTTGTTGGAAGAGGACATACTTTGATGGTGAAAGAACTTTTCCCAGATTTGACGACTGCTGTAAAGGACTACCAACAGGACAGGCGGAGAGGAACGGAAATAGATTTGAAAGCCTCGGACGTGAGGAACCCAGGCTGAGAACTTCGAATTTGGATTTTTATTGGGAAGGGACAAAAACCGGGGATGGGAGGGAGGGAAGAAGAGACTCTTAAAAACTCTCAAGACTTTTAGGTTTGGTTAAGATGACTCTTAATTAAGATAAAATGAAAATCGATGGAAGAGAACTTAAGTCCAACTTATGAAAACTAATTTTTATTATAAAAAAAAGGAAATAAGATGAATAAGATTGTTAAGAGGAGAAATATCAATTTGCTGACATAATCTTGAAACTGGGATGCATTAGGGGGGGTGGGGGGAAGTCAGGGAACAAGGTTATGAAATGGGGATTTGCTGACTTTATACATGTTTTTGTCTTTGTTTTTCTTTGTGTATGTTTTGTCTTTATAAAAGCAGAAAACCAAATAAAAATTTTATAAAAAAAAAATAAAGTTAGTTGTGCCACTCACTTGTGGGAGGCAGTGTCCCTTTTACCTGCTCAACGATGGTGAAAAATGCAGTTAGCATATTTTTGCGTTGAGCTGACTTGCAGAGCTACGGGAACATACCTTAAATCAAGATACCCTACGGTTTGCTCATCCTCCAGGTAAGCAGTTTAAAATTCATGCCAGTCAATGAAGCACGGCTGGCTTGTGTAAGACTACTTACTGAATGTCATTTACTGGTGTCTGCCCAAATTCAACTTGACCCAAAAATGATACCTGTTGCCAAGATGGGACTTAGTTAAGTCTATACACAACCCCACTTGCCTCCTTGCTGAACCTTGGTCCACAAATGAAGATTTTGGGAGAATTTCTGCAATCTTCATGGCATTCCCATGAAAACCAAAAAACTTTTGGGTGAAAAGAATACCTGCTTATTTAATAGGCGAGTGAGTGACCTTCCCATTTCCTTCTATTTTTATTAACGTTAAACAGAGCCAAGCCACTCTCCTCAGCAGCTGGCCACTAGTCAGTTTAAAAATCTTTTGAAAACAGCACTGGGAATATTGCTACAGGATTGCATTGTATCGGGAGTTTACCTTCATTCTCAAGAGGTTTTCAAACTGAATAGCAGCCATCCGCTGGGTGCAGCAGCTTGCCTTTAACGTATTTGGGCAAAGTCTACCCAGTCACCTCACCAAATGCTACTCATCCTACCAACTTGAACTTTCTACCCTCACCCTACCTGAACATCTACTGGCCAGACTCATCTTTAGATGAGTTTTTGCTCTTCATATGATCTGACTGAATGCTGAAAAATTCAACTGGGACAGACATTTGGATGAGCCCTAAGCTAAATAGGGCTGTGTTTCACAAAGTCCTGTGGTGAATAAACTCTTAAATTCATTAGTTTCAAAGTTATGTCCATTAACTTTAAAGGGTCTATTCTGAGTAGGACTGACATTGACTACCACCCCTAATCTTGGCTAAATCTTGTCCCCTATAGTCTCTGACCAGCAGTACACTAATTAAGGAGGCTGCCTCAAAGGTAAATGGGCTGGGATCCCTCTGGCCCACTTGTAATTCGAGCACCGCAGATCACTAATGTGTCCTGTGAAATCACAGAATAGTAAAATTCTAGAGACTGAAGGGATCACGAGGGACCCCTCATCCAACTCCCTGCAGAACTTTGCCCAAAGTGGGGCTTGAACCCCTGGCACTGAGATGGAAAGGCTCGTGTTTACCAACTGAGCTATCAGAAATGTACAGTTTGAAGATTTTCCCTATTCCACTTCTTTTGGACAAGAGGTTGCCTTGACTTGAGGAAAGACTGGCCTCCTTTATGCAAGAACAATTTGTCCAGAGAATGGTGTGAAGTTACGACACTTTTATTATTATTTTATTTTATTAGACATATTT